ACCAAAGTGTGAATCAACTCTAATGAACAACTCGGATACTGTCTGTACTCTATACAAAAAAAGCATTAACATCAAGAAGAAATGTTCTACACTGATAATCCTAGAATTACCAAAGTGATCATTAGGTTGATACTAAAAACAATTGTTTTTTTCAGTAGTAGCACTATGATAATAACTATAGTCCCTCTATGAAACACTTCTATAATATAAATCTGAAATAAATGAAGAATATGTGGAATCTTTGCTATAGAGATAGAATTATTCTAGAATTGCAAAGCATGGCAAAACATGCAGTCACTCATATTTGTCTCCTCTAATATCAATTTATGGTTACTTTTACATGATAGAAATGGATTTTCTTATAATCCATAGTAAAACTATTTTGAATTATGTGTCCAAGGAAGTATATACATCTAAGTTAAACAATTTTTTTCTGATATCAAAGGGAATAAATACCATGAATAGAAAATTTTGAGGAAAAAACAGAAAAATATTTTAAAAAATAAATTAATAGCCATAAATAGTACCACCACTTAGAGATCACCACCATTAAATTAAGCTGTAAGGTTAATACAATGCGAATAACTCATTTCTTGATTCTTAAAGCAAATGAGGTTTAATCCTACTTTCTTTTTTGGCAAACTAACAGACACCTTTCCTATTGAGAACAGTTCATCAATATCAAGAAAAGAGTGATTTTTTCTAATTCTGAGTTTCTACTTCCTAGAGGAGAATCAGAGAAATGAAAAATACATAACTTATCTACCTCCAACATGATAAAGTACAATATCCTACAGGACAACTTCTAGGGAATAATTGTTTGAAATTTCCTCAGTTTCCACCATTTTTATGAAGACTACTCTATTGATTAATAATTCTCACTATGTGGAAGGTAGAAGTTAATTGAAAATCAATTCAACGGACCCTGTTTCTAACCTTAATTGCTTTGCCCTTATCCAGATTTCCTTCAGTTTATTTGGATTTTTGCTAGTTGAACTATTCAAGGTGCATAAAAAGAAATAATCATGCCTCCTTTCTTCCATACAGCTTCCCTCTGAACATGGCCTGAAGTCACATTTCTTCCCCCCACCCTCTGAATGCCATTTTATAATATGAATTCTTATCTTTTTTGCTCTTTGTTGAACTGGGTACCTAATTCTCTACTAGAACTCTGGTACCCCAGGCTCCTCCCATCTATTCTATTTCAGTCTTTCTGGTTGTTCTTCCCTTTCCACCCAGAGATGGTAGATGTCCTCATTCTCTGTCACACACACATCTACCTCTCTCTATCTCTACCCTTATCTCTCTCT